ACTGTGACAAAACGTATTGCTGTTCCGGTGGAACTGCGGCCCCAGCCAAGCACCTTACGGATCCTCCTCCTGACGGTCACGGCCTCCCAAAAGGCGCGCCACGAACAGCCAAAGTCACGAATATACGAACTATTCTCGAGATAGCTCGTGTTATGGCCAAAGAACATCCCCGAAAACGCCGTCGGCTCAACGATCAATCCGGAGACTCGATCGACCCAGACCAGCTCGAAGCTTTATACGTAAGGTTTATTACGTCCTGTTCTCTCCCATTTAGGCTTGTGGAATGCCCAGAATTCCGAGCATTCTTAGCCTACCTCAACGCCGATATCGATACTTGGCTTCCAGATACACACGAGACCATCAAGAAATGGATTATGCGGCAGTACGAAGGTCAGAAGGAGAAGGTCAAGCAGCGCATCCAGTCAGCAAAGTCAAAAATTCATATCAGCTGCGACCTATGGACTTCCCCCAACTCTTTGGCCATCTTAGGCGTAGTTGCTCATTACGTTGCAGAAGACAGTCAGTTGGAACACCATGTCTTGGCTTTGAAAGACATCGACAGTGAGCACGACGGATATCACCTGGCAAGGGCAATTTTGGAAGTGGTTGATGACTGGGGTTTGCTTCCAACCTTGGATATTTTGTGATGGACAATGCAGGCAATAACGATACAATGATGAGATCTCTTTCCTTGGTAAGTACGGCGCACTGTTTTTCTGACTGGCCCTAACATCTACAGGCCTTCTACGTCGATATGACATTCGATACGATCCCAAATCTCACCGACTCCGCTGCCAAGGTCACATTATCAACCTTGCCGCCAAAGCTTTCCTCTTCGTTACCGATAATGAGAAGCTCAAAGACGACGAACGTGATGGGCATAATGTGACACTAAAAGAGATCGAGGCGTGGCGGAAAAGGGTCCCCTTGGCAAGCTCCACAACTTCGTGGTTTTCGTCCAAAGTAGTGTTCAGCGTCGCCAAAAGTTTCTGGCCATCAGCCATAATCGCAAGCTTGCGCGAGATAATGACACGAGGTGGAGTTCGTGGTACACCATGCTACGAGCGGCCTTGCATCTTAGAGGCGCAGTCGAGGATATTCAACAAATGGGTGGAAGGAGATTGTGCCGGAGACGAGCTCTCTCCGAGGAGTGGGTCATCCTCGAGAAGATCAAGTCTTTCTTGGAGAAGCTTAAAATGACGACAAAGGCCCTTGAGTCATCGTTTGCAACTCTTGACAATGTTCTCTTGGCTATGGACTTCGTATTGGCGCAATTTGAAGCAGGAAAAGAGGCACATATCGACGATCCGATTATGGCACCAATGTATAACTCGGGCTGGGCGAAGATGGATAAGTACTATTGTCTTACTGACGAATCGCCTGCCTACGTCGCTGCGATTGTGCTTCACCCTTCGCATAAATGGCACTACATACACGAAAACTGGAAGAAGGAGTGGGCTGACTCGTCAAAGAAGCTGATGGAGACACTGTGGGATGATTATAAACCTGTGGAGCCGCCTTCTCTATCTGAGGTTCCGTTGACGACCACGAACGAGTTCTTGAATTGGAGAAACAAGCACCTACAACCAGCACTTATCACAGACGAGTACGAGCGATATTGTAAGTCTGAACGGGTTTATGGGTTCACAAGCGCCCTCGCATGGTGGCTGGAGGAAACACAGCAAAAGAACTACCCATACCTGAGCAAAATGGCGGTGGATATACTGTCAATTCCCGCAATGTCTGCTGAGCCCGAAAGACTCTTCTCTGGGGCAAAAATAACCATCACAGACCGTCGAAATCGACTTGGGAGTGATGTAATTCAGGCATTGGAGTGCTTGAAGTCATGGTTTGGGATACAGGATTTTCAGGGTGACGATATTTCAGCAACGACGGTTGAATAATGAGGGTCACGTGGGATATACAGGATATATTGTTTTACTGGCAATATATTGGGTCACTGGCAATACAATACAATATGGACCAATGCCATATTGCGCAATACAATACGCACCTCTTGACAGTACAATAATATTGCGAGGGGTCCATATTGCCAATATACGTATTGTTTATATTATTAGCAACACTGCCTCAATTCAACCCTCAGAATCCCGCGCGCGCGCGCCCTGATCCTAGCACAACTCCGGCTCCTTCGTCCCCTCCTCCGACTGGCAAAGATACGATTGTCTGCGCGCCCCCGGGCCATCCTGACTGTGAGTCAGATGATGACATGCCTGACGCGGATACATCAGAGCCGCCATTGAACAGTACCGGTAGTCACATGACGCTCGCAGAGAAAGCCAGACTTATCAAGAAGTGGGCCGACAACAAACAGAAGCATGTTCGCAAGAAGAGAGACAAGAATAGCCACGTTTATTGGTACATGCAGAGGAAGCCATAGACAGAAGCTTTTACTCGAGTACAAGGATGGACCGAAAATATTCCAAGAGTTCCGGTGGACTTGTATAGAGTGCCTTCAAAATCCTTCTACTCTTCGGAAGATATTCCAGGTCCTTGAATCGAACCGCCGAGGGGTTACCTCTGGCATGGGAGACCATTTAAAATCCACGGTATTACGAAGGAGTCTCACCACGGTCGAATCAATGGATACGGCCGCGCCATTGGTGGAGGAGATTATACAGAGGTAGATGCATGGAGCGGTCGACCCAGGCAAAGAGCAAGGCTCACGGCAAAGGAGTCTATCCGCCAGTGGTTTGTAAAACACCGACAACCCTTCTCTGTTGTTGAGAACTTGAGACTCCTGCTTTCCAAGAGATGTTCTTGGCTCACAATACAACCTGTGTGTACAGGAGCCGTATAACCTTACGCAATCACATCTACACAGACTTTGTGGAACGCAGAGAGAAGCTGAAGATCGAGCTTCAGTACAATTGTGCTACCATCTCGCTCACCCTTGATATCTGGACAGCACCGAATCGGGTGCCTATTTTCGCCATTATTACGCACTGGATTACGCCGGAGTTTGAGGAGAGAGAGGAGGTTGAGTTTATCGAGCTCAAAAATCTCACACTGGCAAACACGAGATAGTTGAGAAGACACTTGAGGAGCTCAGGCTCAAGCCAAAGCTTCTCGCCATTACGGAGACAACGCCGCCAACAACGGCACGCTCTATTATTTGAAGACCAGACCACATTCCAATTTCCGGGCAAGCTGGTAGATGGTGTGAATATACCCTCATTGTTTGTGTATATGCTAATCTGCGTTCAGGCGAGAATCCTCCTCCTCAACCCCCTGCTCCGGCGGAAGTTCCCACCGAGGCTACTACCGAGGCTCCCGCCGAACCTCCTACCCCCCCAAACCTCCTGCCTCCCAAGCCGATAAGTCTGCGATATGAACCCCCTGTCCAGATACAATGGAGGCTTCGGAGGATTGAGGCTCTACAAGTGTGTAACTGTGTACAATCGCGGATTCGAACGCGTTGGACCGATATATTTTGAGGATTCGGCAGAGCTTTTGAAAGTGCTTATTTTCGGTCCATTTGCCTAGGACGGGCGGATCAGTATTTATGTAAGTTAATTTTTGTAATATTCGAGATTATCGAGAGACTTCCCAGAAGGCTATAAAACCATATACTACTTATTGGCGTTTTCGAGGTATCTTTGCAATCGCTTAGGTACACACCAAATTCACTTCGTTTAGGGGATTCCTTCAAACTATTCATGAATGGCCTGAATTGGCCCAAACCCAACTTGAATCGCGAAAATTGGAGCTTGAAGATTTTGAATCAAGATCCAAAAAATTCAATTCATTTGATTCATCCTTCATTCAAAATCTTCAAAAAATTCACCTTCGTCTATCACCCCTAACGTCAGGTGACCTCACGTCAACTTGGTGAGGACCGAGGCTGCTGAGACGAAGCTCGGCGGCTTCAACTTCAACTTCAACTTCGACTCCTCCAAAGTTCCAAACATCAACATGGGCAGCAGATAATTAAAGGAAACCCTGCCATCTAGTTCCTCCACTCACTGAACTTACTATCTGGCGAATCTCAGTCAGCTGTCCGCAGCCCTTCTGACTCGTCTGGATGCAACGCTAAGTTACATGAACGGGTGTGAATCGTAGAATCGTCCTCTTTGCAAACCTTGTGCTTAAAATCAAAAGACAGTTTCACATTGGTCGACATTGTCCCGGGAATCCATCCTCGTGCATCTCGTGCTGGATAGCTGCTCCGCTACTGGTCCCCATCATGCCCTCGGCGACCCTGCCAAGTGTCTGCTGGGGCTCTACTGCCATCAACGTCAACCTCCAGTTTCCTTGTCTGATGCTCAAAGCCAACACCTCATGAAACCCTTGCAGATATAAAAGACTCTCTCAGTCCATGTCCCCAGTATGGCAATTGTTCTTGTCTAGAAAGCCCTGTCCAGCTCGCGTGTTTCTACTATTAAGTGCAACTAACACATGTCGCCTTCACTCCATAGCACGCTTACGCAAACATAAGATACCCCGAAATCTTCATCCCTGGCGATTGCTCCTTGAAATGAACTCACTGCTTTGAACTTACGCATATTTTTTTGATTTCAATTTCTGGAATATTATCATCTTGCCAACAGGGTAAGAACACTCACGCTCCAGTGTCACCCACACACACTTGTGGCCATGCGAATCTATTACCGTCAAGCCCAACAAATGCTGGATTTGCTGTACTAGGGAAGCGGCAGAGCAATCCGGATCGGCTCTTGCTGGTGGTGGTGGGTTGGACGGACGGACACGAGAGCTTTGCAGCGCCGTCTGCAGTAGGGCGTGTAGGCTTCATTGCTTCAAAATAATTCTCGTCTCAGCCCGCCAAGACCAATGGCCACAATTAACGTGATTTGAACACATTTCCTGCATGAAAAGATCTAGGTGATTTCATTCAATATTCGAGAGTCGAGACACTGCTCGAGACGTGAGATGAAAGGGTTCTGACGTCGACTGTATTATAACTCTCATCCGTGCAGTACATTCATGATCACAAAACACCCAGCATCCATTTCCATCCTCTAAGCCTTTTCCATCAACAACGGCGCACTGGCCAACGCCTGCGCCCGCGGAGCAGCAGGCAAGGACGTCGAAGGTCGTAGGTAAAAGTGCGCCCCCGTTGCCTGAGTCCCGGTCCAACCCCCAGTAAAAGATCCCGTAGCCAGGGCTGATAGGACGATGCTGGACTTGGTTATGTACAACTTGGGGTGGCCCTCAATCTCCACTATGCAGTTGTGCCAAGGCGTCGGCACGTGAAGCTCATCGCAGAATTTGACGAGACCCCCGTCCGGCGACAGGACGTTGGTCGACCGGACGCCGCTACCGAGCATCTGGATGCCGAACTTTGGTCCGATGTTGTTATGCCTGAAGACCCAACGTTAATGCCCCGAAAGCAAGGTAAAGCTCCGACAGCGGCATGTTAAACCGCCGAAAAGCAAAAAGGGTGCGTAAGCGCCGTGACAGGGACAGGGGGGAGACGTACGCGTGGATCGAGAGTCGGACGTGGTGTGGGAACATGACCTCTACCAAGTTGGAGTAGGCTTGATTGCGCTGCCACAACCTGTCAGGGCGTCGACCATCCGTGCAGTTCAGGGAACATCAAGCATACCTGAATCATCTCAAAGGCCACCTTGGACGACAGCTTCCTCCGCTGGCTTTGGCTGCGACCGCGCGTATAGGGGTTCAGCGCGAGATCCTCGAGCATAAACTTTGAAAAGCCCCGATACAAGGCCACGATGCCCGTGTCCTGAGAGTCTAGCCGCTTCCGCAGCTCGCCATGGTCGAGCTGAAAGGCCTCTTGCAGGATTCGGCGACATGTCTCAGCCTCTTCGGTCAGTTTGGTACCGAGGAAGTGCTGAACCGACGGCATCTTGGCGTCCAAAGAGGGACCGAGGTTTGCGCCTTCGAGTTTGGCCACGGCAAACAGGTCAACCAGGGACTTGAAGCCGATTCTATCGACGCCTCCTCGCTGCAAGGCGATGCTGTTGCTCATGGCGATGAGCTGAGCTCCATATTCATCGACTGCTGAGTCGTCGACACCGACTGTGGAGTGTCAGCACATGCATGCAATGCCAGCTCAGCAGTGAAGGAGAGTGTATACTTACTGCAGTCACTAAAGACGTGGCCGTCGCTGATGATCCACAACTTGGCCCCTGGCTCATAGAGCCTTTCAATGCCTTCTATGAAACTGTGCAAGTTGGACAGCGCGATGAACTCGCCGCGATCTGGCGACGTTCCCTGGACTTTCCCCTGATTGGACGACTTGCAGGGGAATGCAGGGAGGCAAAGCTCAATCTTTTTGCCCCTGGACACAAAGTGCCAGATGCGCTCGCGGAAGTAGTCCCTCCCCCCTTTGTTCCACATGTCGGCCTTGGCAACATATCTTAGGGAAGCATCAAAGTGATGCACGATGGCGTCGGTGATGCTATCCAACGACGTTGCGTGCTGGAGGAAATCCTCATTTTTTCCAAAATCAAAGTGTATTCCCCCGAGAATCAGAGACGCGAAGAAGACATCGAGGTCCACGTCGGCGGCGGGCGTCGAGGTCGGATTCAGTGTGAGAGCAATTCCGATGGAATAGGACTCGTTGGCCTCGCATATCGGATGTTCGTATAAAGCCAGCTGTCGAGACGAGGCGGCGGCTTGACCAGAGACAGCCTCTTCTCCCGCTTCATCGTCTATCGTCACGACGGTGCGCAGCGGCTGGCCGGGCTCGAGGGTGAGATGCCGATATTTCAAGATTTGCATCTGAATCTGGTCCCATGACGAGACGATTGTGTTTTGAGAGGGGCCAAACGAGGAAAGCAGCTCGCCGCTTGGCTTCCTCACGAAGCCCGCGAGGAACCGCTCGTAGACGGAGAGCTTTGGGCGGCGGGAGTCCATTGGGGGTGCCAGAACCAGAGCGGTTGAATTTGGCTTTTGAATAAAGATTACTGGAAATATGTTGAGGGAAACTCTATCAGACACGACGCCCATTTTCAGTCGCCCTGGCCTGACCCCGACTGGCGGGCCATTTTATTAACCCGAGCACATGCCACATGAAGACAAAGGCCGGGGCTGTTCGTGTTCAGCCTTTGTTCAGCCTCAGCCCTACTCGTGCTGCTTGCATGGATGATGTGTACTAGGACGCCGAGAATTGTCTCATGGGCTAATTCTAGAATATCCCGGAGGATTTCGGTTCCTGGTGTAACGCACACTGGTCGCCGTCGAGCTCGGTGACAAGGCATTCGTGAGTCGGCCCATCATGGCTGGATGAGTTGGCCCCCCTCATCCATGCACTCCCCCATGCAGGATGATTTCCCGCATTCTTGCTCCGTCCGACAGCCGGCCCCCATGCCTTCGGGCAGTGCAGTAGCCGGTTGGGCTTACTGACGTCGTGCTGACAGCTGACGGCACTTGCGGCCAATTGCACGGTTGAGGCCGGACGATTGTTACCTGCTGTAAGACAGCATAAGGCCAGCGCATGGGGATCGTCGTGGCTTTTTTTTCTTACCGTCAGACGGAGGGCTCGACGATACGACTTGCATTACGCAATAGCACAGCAGCTGCCGAGTCTGGGCTTCATCTTTGGCGGCGCAGTGTTTGCAGATTTACGCGTGCGGCGTCATTGATGACATCAAGGCGCTTAGATGTGAGTCGGCGCCGAATCTCGTCAAGTGCTGGCCATGGGGTTCGCGGCTTAAGCTAAAGCGCAGCCAGAGGCCTTGTCTGGACGCCGCGGAGACGTTGATCAATGCCATACACCATGGGTTCCCTTCTGCTTGTGCTGGGAGAGACTCTCCTCCTGGGCCTTGGCCTGGCCAGCGCCGTCTACTACGTCTACCTCCTACCGCCCAAGGAGCCTCGCGGGATACCCGTGATCCCCTTCTGGGTGGCCCTCATCCCCCTGTTCAAGGATGTTGACCAACAAGACATCTTCAACAAGTACATCGACAGGCCGCTGCGAACCCACGGCGCCGTCAAGATCTTCTTTGCGTCAAAGTGGAATGTGCTTGTCCACCGGCCGACATTTCTCAACGAAGTCTTCAAGTACGAGAATCAGTATCAAAAGACGGGCAATCATAAAAAGATTCCCGGGAGCGTCCTCGCCTCTTTCCTCGGGGATAACATCATATCGAGCCATGGCGAAACCTGGAAGAAATATCGTCAAGTCATACAGCCCGGCTTACAGAGCAAGTTCGAACTCGACGCCCTGTTTGCCAATGCGCTCCAGTTGCGCGACTTACTCCTGCAGTCTCAAGCCCAGAAGCCGCAGGGCGCCATACCCATCCAGGAGAGCATCCAACGTTACACGATCGCAAATTTTGCGCAGATAAATTTCGGAGTTGATTTTGGAGTAAGTGGGCTCGAGCCAACATCCTTGTCTAGCAAAGGGTCATGCCGCCTTCAGGTGCTGATAATCATGCAGACACTAGAGTCAAACCAGGCATATCTTCATCAGCTCCAATACAGCATCAAGCGCGAGATATTCAAGCCCATATTCATGAACTTTCCATTTCTGGACCGCCTGGGCTTCCCGAGCCGAGAGAGAGCCCGACGGCTCGCCGCGCACTTCACCGATCAGCTGATCTTGGCGCTGGAGAGAGCTTCGGATGCAGGCAGAGGGGCGGCCAGACCCGACGTAAACGACTTGCCGAGCTCCTTGCTAGCGGCTCGGTATTCCGGAGCCTGGACTGAGCAGCAGTTCCGTGACAATGTGACGGTTCTTTTCGTGGCGGGGCAAGAGAACCCCCAACTGGCCATTATATCGGCGATATACTTGCTCGCCAAGCACCCGGTGAGCCGATGTGCCTTGGATGTGAAACGCATGGCTGCTAAGACTAGGGAAATCCAGGAGATCCAGGAACGACTGCATGACGAGATCGTCTCTCGCGGTGACGATGCGCCCAGCGAAGAGATGCTACAGAACATGCCCTGGCTCGACGCCGTCGTATTGGAAAGCCTGCGGCTGTTCCCACCCATCGGGCAACTCATAAATCGCCGAGCCGCCGAGCCACTCATCCTTGGAGACAACATCATGATCCCACAAGGCGCCTGGGTAGGCTATAACTGCTACTCGACGAACCGCGACCCGTCGGCCTGGGGCGCCGACGCAAACCGGTTCCGGCCGCAGCGGTGGGGAGACTCCATACAGGACATCCGTAAAGAGTACCGCAGGCGACGCGCGCGCGCCGAGTTCATCTCGTTTCACGGCGGGCGACGGGCTTGTCTCGGCGAGCGGTTTGCCGTGCTCCAGATGAAAGCGACCCTGTTCACACTTGCCAAGGGGCTGCGGTGGAGGCCTGACCCGACGTGGCCCGATAGAATGACCCCGGTGCGTTTGTTTGACAATGGGAGTCGGGTGAGAACGAATGAGGGCATTACTGACTGATTTCTATATCCGACCAGGCCGGTCCGCTTTGTCCGAGAAACTTGCGCTTGATTATCGAGGCACGCAAAGGAATGGGCGATATTACGCGGGCGTGATTAATGCAGAGTCATAATATTGAAGACTGGGGCTCTACGACAATAGAAGAGAATATTGAGATCGGGTCGATTATCGCGAGCATTGTCTTCTAAACCGAAGCGTATTCAAATAGACCTCATGTAGCATGTAACTCAGTAAATAACAACATAGTCATTGTTTTCTTGTGTGAGTTTATATGGTTTTAGTATTAAACTATACGTAGAAGTAAAACCAATTTTCATGTGCAGGGTCATGAACGACGTTTTAAGCTCCGTCGTTTTCCCTTGGAGTTGACGCGATCGCCAGAGGCGCCTCAGCGTCTTGAATTCCTTTGCTCACGTCTGTCCAGACGTAAAGGCCCAGGGCGATGACCATGAGCAGCAGATTGGGAATCATTGGGAAACGCAGGTTATGCGTCCTGTTCTGGATCACTCCCTGAACAAGAGGGTTGATCCAGCCCGTCGCAAGGTCGAGGGTGATCTCGAGACCGAAAAAGGCCGCCTCGGATCCCTTGGGAATGAGAGAGGCGTAGAGAACGCGGTTGAGAGACCGCAGTGCGCTGCTCGTGCTCATAAAGAGAAAGTCGGCGACCCAGAACTCGGCCTGGTGTTTGTATCCGATGGGGATGTTGGCGTTGATCCCCAGGCAACCCCAAAAGACGCAGAGGATATTCACGCTCAAGAAGATGTAGGCCCAGTTCTTGATGTGCAGCCGAGTGTAACGAAAGGCAAAGAGCCAGGCCAGAGAGCCCATGCAGGCAAAAAGGACCATCATGAAGGTGTAGACGGTGTAGACGCTGCTCCCTCGCTGGATGCCCGTCGTCTCGAGGAACAGCGCGCCGAGCAGGGAGAGGAAGTTGCTGTATCCTGTGTTCCAGAGGACCCATCCTATGCACAGCTTGAAGGCGTTCGGGTACCGGCGGATGGAGCCCAGCAGCTTGAGCCCTGTGCGAGTGCATGTGTTAGTGGCACGCACAACGAAGCAGCTGGCAACCGTTTCACTCGGCTCGTCTCACATGTGCGCAGCGGTAGGAGAAAGATGCTCTTGCCGGCAGGTCGTTTCGCGCCGGGGACGTTGGGCAGCAAGATCTGACCAGCAATGGCGAAAACGACTATGCAGAGGGTCAGCAGACGGCTCGCGCTCACGGGCCCGAGGGATAGGCGGCCTGCACGTACTCGTGATACAGCCCGCAATGGTGACTGCCAGGAGAAAACTGCCGTTGGTCAGCATCGAATGCGAGCTGGCAAGGCGCAGCCACTCACTTGTGGTACCCTTCCTTTACATAGCTTCCTCGGCTGTACGTGATGATTACGCCGATGAGCAGCGCCAACAGGGCTCCGACGTTGCTGGACAGCAGACCAAGGACACTGACGCGGCTTCCCTTGATCCAGGCGCCGGTGGGGCTGGACTCGGCAGGGGGCAGCTCATCCTGAAGCCTGGCCCGGGGTCGGACCCAGCCGGCGGAGCGCATGAAGATGGGTATGTAGGACGCCTCGATGATGGTGTAGACGCCGCTGACGGTCGAGATGATGACGTACAGCGTCGACAGCGCGTTGAGGTGGCTGTACGACCTGTCGGTCAGGCCGGCGAAGGGGAGCGCGAGCGCGCCGAAGAGGTAGATGGAGCCCATCATCATGATCTTGCGATAGTCGGAGTAGTCGGCGGCGCCGGCGGCGAGAATCGACACGACGCCCTCGGAGGCTCGGCTGATGGCTCTCAGGTAGAGTCTGCAAGCCAACTCAGCCCGTCAGCGATCCGGCGACATGCCAAGGCCTCGAATGCCGGGCGTTGACGTCGTCGCGCCGACTTACAAGTAGCTAAGGTAGTCGACATCACGGCCGCCGAGCTTGACGACGCACTTGATGGCGCCCCGTCGAGCACACGGCCTGTCCGTTCCGGGGATGCGCCCGACGGCGTTTGCGGCGGACTGGATGCTGGCCGTCACATAGCTGTTGACCATGCCGCTCGTCGGTCCCGTCTGTGGATGCCAGGCTCCCCGGGTCAGTCGATGCCCACGCGGTTTTCCACAGAGATGAATGTCTGACCGAGAAGCACAGGATGAGCCAGGCCCAGAGCGCCCTTCTGGTGCCCATGGGCGCGGCGGCGGCGTCGTCCGCTACCGGCGGCTGTCCATTGTCGGGCCGGGTGACGACAACGGGCGCCGCCGAGCGCTTCGCCGCGGTCGTCTCCTCGTCCTCCGAGGGCTTGCGGTGAGGGCTGTCGTCCCTCATGCTCTCGATGATGGCGGGTCGGTTTTATGCAGTTTCGATACGCGGTCGGGTCGACGAGGGCGAGCCGATGCGGTCGGAAAAGGCAGCGTCCGAGGTTTTATTGCACGCCCGCCGGCCGGGGCCCCGAGGGAAAGGATGGGGACGGGAGCAGCAAACGTCGACGGCTGCCATTGCACAGGGCACCAAAAGAAGCGTTGGAGCTCGATAGAGGGAATTAGACGAGTATTATGCCGCCTCAACGACGGCGCACGAGCGTACAACAGCGCCGATAACCGCGCCACCGGCGCACCGGACAGACGGTCAAGAGCACGTTCCAAGGGCATCCATCATCGCGCAGTCGCTCTTGCGGCCCCGGAGGAGGAACAGGCGTCGCATCGGCCAATGGGACGATCCAAAGGCCGCATCTGACCTCAGCCAACGGCCAGTCTAAACTTGCTCATTTCCGCTCAAACTCCAGCGTTGGTCAGAACAGTCAGCCTCGCAGTTTTCTTATCCATGGATACGAAGTATTGTAGGTGTGTATGCACCCACGGATGCTAGTCTAGTCTTTTCTGACCAAAGTCTCAGGGACCCCAGCCTCGTGGGGGCGTCATTGTATGTTTGTTGACGTGGAGCGTGGCCACCCCGAGCCTGTAACTCCGAGGCTGAACCTTGGCCTTTGTTAGCCCGGCTTTCGGCCCTTGGATAAAGAAAAGGAAAAACAGGCCGAACATGTAGTCAGCAGTCTCCATGTTATATGCCGGCTCACTCCGCCGCTCGTCTGGCAGGTTGTGTTGGCCGGGAGTTGTAGTTAATGCTTCAGTAATCCCAACAGGCACCCGTCCAAATAACCGAACCGGCCTCGTTCCTCTTGGGCTTTCTCACCATAGCGCATCAGAGGCACCAGAAGCCGTGGACTGCCCTGTCCTCCGCAACAACGACGAATCTGCATACACACACGTGCCCGCTCAGCATCAAGAGACGGCTTCTCCAAGATCGAGTGCGCCATGACGGCCACGCCAACGACGAGCGACCCGGTTCAAGGGGGCAAGCCCCCGGTGGCAGCAGCAGCAGCAGCCCCGCCGCCGGCTAACGGCACGGACGCAGAGCGCGGCCGGGAGGATGCCCCGGTCCAGCCGGCGTACTGCGCCTTGACGCCGGCCCGGCGCCGCTTCGTTCTCGGCGTCGTCACAGTGGCGGGCCTGTTCGGCCCGTTGGCCGGCGCAATCTACTTGCCGTCCCTGCCTGTGCTGGAGAGGGAGTTTGGAGTCGGAGCCACGGCTCTGAACGCGACCGTGTCCGTATTCATGGTGACGTTTGCGTTTGCCGTGAGTGCAGCGCTCTGTTCCTTTCTCCTCGTCGTGGAAACTCGACCTTTCCTCGTCGTCGTGTGTAACTGAGTACTAATCCCATCTGTCACGGCCAGCCTCTGTTCTGGGCCAGCTTCGCAGACTTCGGGGGCCGGCGCCCACTCTACATCACCTCGCTGTCCATCTACATTATTGCCAATGTCCTTCTCGCGACTCTGCCCAAAAACTTTGGAGCACTGGTGTTTCTGCGTATCGTCCAGGCGTTTGGGTCGGCCGCCGTTGTCTCCATGGGCGCCGGCACAGTCGCAGATGTAAGTGCTTCCACGCTCTCGGCTCACGTCTGTTGCTCCTTGCTGACGGGCAAGTGAAGGTCACGGAGCCCAAGCGCCGTGCCACGGCCATGTCCATCTTCCTCCTCGGGCCCCAGTGTGGCCCCATCATAGGTCCTGCCTTGGGGGCGGCGTTTACGGGAGAGATATCCTGGAGGTGGATTTTTGGTTTTCTAGGTCAGTGACTGTCCGACGTGCTACGCTTTCTTGGTTCAATCGAATGACTGACTTATTCTTCACCTCGTTCTCGCAGCGATTTCGGGCTTCGTCTTATGGCTCGTCATCATCTTCATGCTGCCTGAGACGCTCCGTTACCGGGTTGGCAATGGTCGGATCCATGGCAAGGGCTCCTGGCTTCTGTTTCCTCCCACGCTCTCTTCGCCTCTTGCCCCTGAGTCAGAACGGGGTCCGAAGCCCCCCAAGCCAAGTTTGATGGGCTACTGGAAGCTCTTCTCCTACCCCCCGATCGGCATCGTGTCAGTCAACACGGCGATTCTCTACTCAACCTACTTTGCCATCGCCGTGCAGCTACCCTATGCGCTCGAGGACGTCTACCACTGGTCGACGACGGCGGTTGGCGGTGGCTATCTTGCTGTTGGAATTGCCCTCGTCATTGGCTCCGTCATTGGCGGGCGTGCCAACGACTGGCGCCGCGCCAGGCTTGTCAAAGCGCGAGGCGACGAGAAAGTCGAGCCTGAAACCAGACTGATTGATCAGATCTGGGGCGTGATTCTGTGTGCTGCTGGGACAATCATGTATGGGTGGTTTGTCGACCGCGCCATACACCCAGCAGCAGTTCTCGTTGCCACCTTCCTGAGTACGTTGCCAAAGATATTTCCTTGTGTCACAACACTGTCAAGTTACGGACTCATACATGAAGGGCAGCAATACTGACATTCGACTTGGTACGCTAAGCTGGCTTCGGCATGAGCTGGGTCTTCATCGCGACGACAGCCTTCTTGTCCGAGTGCGCACCGCGGCAGGCAGCAGGCGCGTTTGCGCTCGGCAACATGCTCCGCAACCCAGGAGCGGCCATTGCGGCCGTCATTCTGCCACCCCTTGTTTCTAGAATGGGAGTCGGCTGGTTCTTTACGGGCTTGGGTCTGTTGGACTTGGTTGTGGTTGGCGGTGCAGTAATAGGTAAGTCTGACAACCATGGATGCCCTGGGTTGTGACGGATGTGGTGAACGGCTTCGTATACTGACTGAGACAAAGTATTGCGTGTTTACGGCCCCGTTTGGAGAGCCAAGAGCTTAGCGAAGACGATGGAAAAGGGGGGTTGATGCCATACACGGCACGTGAAATCAACAAAGCTTGGATGGCAACGGCCTAATGACACAATGACCTGTCCTCATTATTACATGATAAAGAATGTCAATTCTGAGGCGCCTATTGGTATTAATAATTTCTGGTCTGAAGCGGAGGGATGAATGGAACAATGCTGCGTGGGGACACAATAAATAGACAGAGCCCGATCCACAGACCACATCGAGTGGCTGCAGCAAATATCTCTCTGAAACGGCAACGAAATTGCAAAGTGGCTGTTCAGTCCCCGTGGCTATTGTTTGAGTTGTGGCCTGAGGCACTCGACGGCCTGCTGGTAACCTCAATGATTCACTGCACCAGGTTGGCAGATTGGTATATCAACACAGCCCACCCCGCCTCCCCCCTCTCCATCTTTTTCTCACTCCCCTCCTCCTTTTCATAGCTGGACAGAGAATCCGTCTGGCTCCCTCATCTTCAGCCAAGCAGGAAACCAGACTCGACTGCTGTTATCATCTACAACTACAAAGTGTCAGCTGCGGGCAACCGGCCCGCACGCTGTGAACGGGTGGCAAGCCGATACTTGAAGACACCAAAAGAGCTTTGGAAGCTGCGTACTGGAAATTAAGGCTTTCACTTATTTCCTCGGCTCTTGCCGGAACCATCGACACTTCCTGGACCCTCAACTCTTGCATGGATTCTCTACTTTTGTCGGGTTCTCAACTGTTGCCGGAAACTCAACTCCTACCGGACCCTGACTCTCTTGCCGGACTCTCTACTTTGATCGGGTTTTCAACCCTTTTCGGACAATCAACTTTGCCCAAGACACATCCGTAGTTCAAGTCTCATCGACTGTGTTTGTGTCCCGACATGCTTTCACCTTTGAAACCTCTCTGACTCTTTATCGCCTCTCGACTACAGCCACAACTCCAGCCTACCAACATGGATCAATCAGCTATCGCTGATTTCTCCAAAGATGAGCACCAATATGCCGTGGACCACGTCTTTCTCCCCCCTAAACTCCCACAGAGCGGTGATGACATGCAGGCTGCAGCTCGCGACGCCCAGATCTTGAACGCCGTCGCCAAAGCTCTCCAGTATTTTCGCCTCAACGTCGACGCCAACTGTATAGACCTCGTCGATGCAGCAATCACTGCCATCAACCGCCATCGTCAGGTGCGACGTGTTAGCGGCGACGTGGAAGAGCACCGCCTACGGGACGCCTTCCTCGCCCTGGAAGCATGTGGTGCATCATGGCCGGCAACTGGACTTGGTGACAAGCTCATTACTAACTCGACTTTCAGGAGGAGCTATTCCGATTCACGTAGAAGCGCAGAACGCGGGCCTCATCATTACTCGCAAGAATGACTTGGTTGTGTTTGAGTCGTTTGAGCTCTCGGCCATGAACGAGAGCGTCATGGGCACGGCAGGCCGCCTCAAGCGACATTTCCCTGCCTCCTCTGTCGCCATCCAGATGAAGGACTTTTGTGACCGTGGCCTCCAATGGGCTCTGGCGGCGGCTATTGCCAAGCTGAGCAGGGAAGAGATACCCGACATGAAGTCGCACATCGTCAAGGCCGGCGAGGAACTCATCGAGGAGCGAAACACTACAGATCCCAGCATGGTTACTGACCTCCTGGCCAGTATTTTACGGGGCTTGGGAAGTATCATGGAAGGGAACCGGATTTGCAAACACACCAGAGATGAGGTCCTCTGGCTATCAGCCGCCAGGCCATGGCGAAGATCGCCTTTGTGGCTATTCATCAGGGTCACTCTCCAGCTCTGCTTCTCGCGCGACGGCCGCAGTCTGTCTCTCTACAAGGAGCTCATGATCGTATTCATGGCCGGCATCCTGCAGTCTGGCAAGCAGCACAACCCCCCTAGCGACAAGCTGTTTTGCATGATTGCCAAGATATCGCGACGCTTGCTGAAGCTGGACCCTCGTGGCCGAACCTACCAGTGGCTCTCAGACGTGCATCAAGTGCTGTCTGAGCACCGCCTCGTCATGGACCATCGTTGGAAGCGAATCATTGATCACTTCGCCATCGACTCCAACACCCAACCACTGTCCTCTGGAGAGGTGCAACAGGGCAGGCTGGCGTCGTATCTGGACCTCGACAGGATTCTAAAGGAATTCGCCTCACGTAAGGTCGACGAGCCTGGAAAAAAGTTCAAGCCCCGACAGCCCTCCTTTACGCTTGACAATGATACATTGCCGTCCTTGCCACAGTCAGCCGGCAGCTGCTCCGGAGACGAATGGCTTCACCTCTTGATCTTCGAACACTGGGTGGCAAAATGCTTGGACACATGGCTCATGCATCGCCTCACCTCGAGAGGAACCTGCGGAGTGCTCTACCTTGCCGTGATGGACTACCACAAGCTTGCATCATCGCTCTCCTCCGGCAACACAGAGGCTCGATCGATCATGTACTTGACCATTATGGAGCTTTGGGTCGCTGCGGATAAATCAGCCTGTCGGCGGATCCCCTTGATGACAGACTATGATCCCGAAGTACCGTACAGGCTCCTTCAATCTCTCATCTTGTCGTCCAAAGATGAGATGGAGAGGCTGCACCTGGTTGAGGAATACCTCGAGGGCCGTCGCGCGGGAGCAAGATTCTCCAGTCCCTCCATTTACTCCTCTTTTGGACATGAGAGATCTTTCCCAGTTCGCTTCTTTGAGTCTTCCCAGGAACACCAGAACCTCCGCCAGAAGATCGAGGCCAAGGCCCACCAGGACCGGGAAAAGAAGTTGACCGAGTTTCGCAATCTCCAGAGGCTACACCAAACCGTAACCTCTCGCATCAACAACGCAACTTGTACTTATGTCATGATTACAGATCCACGGACGGGACAGAATGGCCAGTATCACAGCAACACTTGCCAGAGATGCGCAGATTCAAAGGTCGCCAAAGCCATGAAGATTCTGCTGCACGAGTGGCCACTTCCCGCGTCCGATTCCATGGCAGCAGCCGCAGTGTTCGAGTTGGACGTGCCCCGGACATTCAGCGACTGGCGGGACATGTCCCTCTATCTTCTCATCAACGTTTTCCGATCAGACTGGCGGGATACCGGAGTACCGCCCACCAAATGGAACCTCGAAAACCATTTGCCGTCTTATTGCAATACAATCGGCCGTCGGGTCCAGCTCTGGTCCATCACCAAGCCGCACAAGGAAACCCACAGGAAGGGCATTCACGTGAGCCTGGCCGACGAGGCCAATATCATGGTGGCCAACGGAATGACCTACTGCTACCGCGACTCGGCCGCCAACTGCCTCATGTCTGAGATCATAACCACGGACGAACTCCCCGAAATGCTCACATACAAGCTTTCGGAGGCGAGTGCCAGCCTCCAAGATTTCCTGTATCGACCTTTCCATCGACCCAACGGCTTGTCGCCCAACCAGGTGATTTCTATGCAGGCACTCTGTCCGGACAGCCTTTCGCTCGAGGAATACAAGGCCACCGCCTCGATCCTTATTGGCTACCTCATTCAGTGGCCCAACATTCTCGTCAACCTCTACAATCCGGTTGTCAACTTCAACAAGCTCGACACGAACCTTATTCTCCGGCAGGCCGGTCTCCAGGCCGGCCCACCGCTGGCCGGAGCCGTCTGCCGAGCCGGCCACCAGCAACTCGAAGACGAGAGTTTTTCCAGCACGTTTCTGACAGGCCTCATGGTGGCGCTGAGCAGAATTAAAGAAAACTGGGAGTCGTGCTTCGCACTGAGCAGCTTGATCTCCTTGGGGGCGAGAATCCTGACCTTTGCGCCCTCGCCGGCCGTGGCCCGTACGTGCCTCGGCTTCCTTGCGAACTGCCGCCAGGTGGCTTTGAAGTGGCTTCGAGACCTACAAAACGAAGCCAGGCTATCTGAAGACGAGGGGCAACGACTGCGGATTCACGATAGAGTCTTCCGGGTGGCTCTTGTATGTGTCGGCACATTCGACATTGACATGAGTCGTCTTAAAAGCCTTCTGGCAGACCCAGCCGAGGCATCAGTCATGATTGAGTCCGCAATGGCAATTCAACGGACAAGCAGACCAGCTCTGGAATCTGAAGATGTTTTCAACCTCATCGCCACGGACAGATGGCAGCGCCTCATCTTCAAGAGCCACCGTCTTCTACGCAAGGCGATTGTCCGAGGCAACAGCTCGTGCCTGGACGACGCTATCCGAAGCACATGGGCCGACTACACCAGCGGCCAAGCATGGAGCACAGTATCGACGGAAGGGGACTACAAGTTCTGGCTCGTGAGTCGCGCGGCAGCGACCCAGTCGCATTCTATGGTGCTGCACTTCAATCTCCTAACCGCCGAACTCTACGTCAACGGCATGAATCTGTCTCGACTACCAGCGAAATACGAAGACCACCCGAGCTATCCAACCTTTTTCGGGAAAACAGTGGTTGAGGTGTTGCCTACCAGGATGCCCGGCATGCATTTCTCAGCAAGAAAGCCATACAACGGATACATCGTGGACTTGGGCATGAGCAAGTCGGAGCGACCTGAGCTGCAGCTCACGGCTACCAAGGGCGGCAAGACCCTCGACCTGGTGCCTTCACGGATATTTCACCGTATTCTGCCTCACGACTTTATCAACGACTGCGTGCATTGGTACGATCGGAGCACCAAGACAGTCGAGTTTCGACCTAAGAATGAGCCGTGGACTCCGTCACCGAACAACTGGAGGCTGAGAAAGGAAGGGGCCTTCTGGGTTTTGGAAAAGGGCAGCCAGACCCTCATCATTCCCTCCAGCAACCTGGGGACACGTATCGCCGCGTTGCTCGTGCCGCTCGAAGACAAGCTCATGACGCACATCATCCATCACTCCAACACGGGCCAAGTCGACATTGGGCTGCCCAAGCTTCAACTCGACTTTTTCCTGCTGCCAGACTCGACAAAGCTACATAGTCGGCAGTTCCGGGGCATGTATATCGACCCAGTCCAGAACATTGGCACCTTGATCGGGCTTCAGACCAAGCTAGTCCTCAGAGACGATCGAGGCAAGCACAAGGTCTTGGTGCCGAACGGCAAACCGCACTGGATCGGTTCAGGGAATCAGCACATCAGAGTGTCCGTCAAACATGGCACGTCCACCAAGGTCCATCCCTACGACGTGGACACCTTGCTGGGCCGACTGGTCGATAACGGGGATCTACAAAGCAAGTTGATTCTTTGTTACTATCACGGCCTCACCTCCCATTGCCTCCCGGACCCCCTCACTGGCAGCACCGGGACGGAACAGAGCCTGACAATCCTCAAATCGGCCGGGGTCCGGTCCTTCCAGTATCTTTCTCAGGAGAACATTGACATGCTTTACGCCATTGCTCAACTATCTCCCAAAAGAAGCCACTACCCCGCAAGATCACGCTTGATGGAAACGACCGTCTGGGACAAATCGCTCAGTTGTCTCTCCCAGCACGTGCTCTACTACGAGATTGCCACGAAAATCCTCGAGCAAGCCGAGCAGAGCAGACTCTTTCATCCCGATATCTACGTCGAGCCAAAGAAACTCGACTTTGTGGACAGTGAACTGCACAAAAGACATTCGATCCGAGATTCCGTCTTCCACCTGCACAGTTTTGGCGCTGAAAGCCACACCACCGCCTATGACGCTCATTACACGAGAAAAAGGGATGGTCTCGGACTATCTATTGCGTCGGAGCGCGTGTTTAAAGTGTCAAGAGCAATCTACGAAGGAACGCAGACTCTCTACGAGCCCCCAAGCCGCGACTTTGTGGACGACATGTGGCAGCTGCTTTTATGTGACCAAGTCAGGGGCGCGCAAGATCTCACTCTGCTGTCAAACGATGGAATCGCCTATGATGCAAAGTGGATGAAGGACTTTCCATCGCTCATGCGTTGGTACTGGTGTCAACTTCACCACATCTTGGGAAGTCCTGGCTCCAGGCCGAGCAAGTTCCACGTCCTGTTCTGCCTCGCCACCATGGCCTACTCGCACGATTGCGACTCGCAGGCATTGCAAGTCTTTGTCCTCTGCCTAAACTCGGCTCGTGTCGGCGGGATCATGTTACCCACACAATGGGGCTGGGATCTCCGGGAGGCATTCAGCATTGACGCCGGTTCCATTAAGAGGATTGCCCAGAAGCATGTGGTCTCCTATGCGGACTCTCCAGCGTTCGGCCTCCTTCAGCAAGCAGGAGAATCGGCGGCAGATGTGGAGGACAGGCGTTGCAGGACCTTTGACAAAAATTGTTCCTTGGCGGTGAGTCGATTGGTCGCCTTGCTCGAGGCTCAATGGCCTTGCGAAGGGCCGCAACCACCAACGGAAACGGTCATCGAAGAATACATCCGGCTGGGGAGGGTGATGGAAGAGATACGACGCCCCTGGAACGACTGGCACGCTAATCACCAATTCCGCGAGTACTTGAAACGCATCTATCTTGCTCTTACGGGGCTTCCTGTCGTCAGAATACAAGTTCCCGAGCTACAGGCCGGGGGGCGGACGCTTCCTCAAGCCTCGCGAGGACCGGCCTTTGTTACTGACACGGATATATTTCAACGTCCCGCTCCGGAGTTCATCGAGGTCCAAGACGACACTTCCAATCTCCTCTGCCCTCGCACAGACGAGAGAGCAGGCTCGGATAACGTTGACGCTCTCATCGAGCGTCTGATGGAGGTCGCCAATCAGCTGCTCGACAAAAAGTATGCCCAAGACCTCGAGGAAAGCGCCGGGGCCTTGAAGACAAGGAAGCCGCAAGACTCGATCAAGTGCCCCGAAGACGCCAGCCTTGATAAGATTCTGCATGATCACCTGGAAAAGTGTCGTTCCCAGTTGAGAATCATCTACGAGACCCTGGTCAGCGCCACCGATCCAGAAGTCCCGGTCCCCTCAACGTCGGAAGTTTCCAGTCGGCAGGTGGGAGCAAAGTCTTTGGCGCCGAGGACATCGCGCAACTTCTTTCTCCGCCAGCTCGCCGGCGATAGATGGAGGCCTCTTACAGAGCAGTGGAAGAAAGCCATTAATGCGTTTGCGAAGGCAGTGACGGCGCTGCAGCGTGCGGAGAGAATGGTTAAGCTGGTGGACAACCCGCGCGACCTCCATAAGGAGCTCCTCAACCCCGGCCACACCACCTGGAGAAGCATCGAGTACCCCGAGTCTCTGCTCCTCGAGGTCGAAAGCGGCATAATGATTCGAGCGAACCAGGAGAGCATCGCGTCGGTCATGCGAGCGCCGCCCAACAACCGCAATGCCGTCATGCAGCTCAACATGGGCGAGGGCAAATCTTCCGTCATCGTACCCATCGTCGCGGCGCGTATAGCCGACGGCCGCAGGCTTGTTCGTGTCATTGTGGCCAAGCCTCAAGCCAAAGAGCTGCACCGGATGCTGGTTGAAAAGCTGGGCGGCCTGCTCAACCATCGAATCTATCACTTGCCCTTTACCCGCTCCCTGAGGCCAACCGCTTCCGACATTCGAGCGGTCCTGGAGATGTGCCGCGAGTGCATGAGCACTGGCGGCGTGCTGCTGATGCAGCCCGAGCACATACTTTCCTTCCAACTGATGGGCATCGAGGCTCAGCTGTCTGGGAGCGCCCAGGCGCAAGACGTCGCGCAGCTTGCCTTGGAGACGCAGCATTTCTTCAACCTGCATGTGAGGGACATTGTGGACGAAAGTGACGAGAACTTTAGCGTCAAGTTTGAGCTGCTCTACACAATGGGGACCCAGAGGCCCATTGAACTCAGCCCAGAGCGCTGGACCCTAACTCAACGACTGCTCACCCTCGTTGCAAAGGTCGTGCCAAGGGTTCAGGAACAGCTGCCCGCATCGATCGAGGTGTCAGGTGTCGCTCATGGCCGCTTCCCAAGGACACGAATCTTGCGAACAGACGCTCTGAAACTCCTGCTCAGGACCCTCGTTGACGAGTTGAGCAATGTTGGGCTGCCTGGCTTTCCGATAGCACGGCTGTCGAGCGAAGTCAGGAACCACGTCGTCACGTACATTTCCCAGGTCGACCTTTCATCTGCTCAGATAGCCGCTGTTGAGGGCTCGGGTTTTTACAACGAATCCACGAAGGGCCCGCTCCTTCTGATCCGCGGACTCATCGCGGGAGGCTTGCTGGGCTACGCCCTGGGGCAGAAGCGATGGAGAGTCAACTATGGTCTTACCAAGGACCGGCGTCCGCCAACGAGGCTTGCAGTTCCGCATCGAGCAAAGGACTTCCCTACGGCACGGTCCGAGTTCAGCCATCCCGAGATTGTCATCATCCTGACGTGTCTGTGCAATTATTACGGTGGCCTTTCCGACGACGATCTCTTCCTCGCCTTTGAGCACTTGATGCAGTCGGACCAAGCCAGCGCTGAATACCACGAGTGGGTTCGAGATGCCCCCGAGCTGCCTGAGTCGTTTCGCCGGCTCGAGGGAGTCAACACCAAGGACAAGCGCCAAGCGACCGGCCTCGTTTTCCCCTGCCTCCGATACTCCAAGAGTGTCGTGGACTACTTCCTGGCGCACATCGTCTTCTCCAAAGAGCTGAGAGAGTTTCCCCAGAAGCTATCCGCCTCCGGCTGGGACATAGCGCGGCAGAAGATCCATCCCACAACCGGCTTCAGCGGTACAAATGACTCCCGACACACGCTTCCCCTTGACGTGCAGCAGCTGGACCTCGGCGACCAAAAGCATACCAACGCCCTCGTGCTTGAGCAGCTCCTGCGGCCCGAGAATACGATTGCGTACATGCTGCGCCGGACTAGGATTGTCAGCTCCGATGCAGAGGCCTTACTAGAGCTTGTCCAGTGCCAGGCGCCCTCGGTTCAGGTCATCCTTGATGTTGGGGCGCAGATTATTGAGCTCACCAACATTCAAGTGGCGCAGACTTGGCTCGAGATGACTCCCGTGGAGCTGAACAAGGAAGCGGTCGTCTTCTTCAACGACTTTGACGACTTGTGCGTCATCGACCGCCAGGGTCAGGTTGAGCAGCTGCAAACCTCCCCCTACGCTCAGCAGCTCGATGTTTGCCTGGTCTTTCTCGACGAAGCTCACACCAGAGGAACCGACTTGAAGCTCCCCTCGCACTTCAGAGCGGCCGTGACGCTGGGGGCTAATGTGACGAAAGACAAGCTTGTTCAAGGTAAATAGTTCCATCCAGGCTCAGTCGCTTGGCGGCTTGGCGCAGCAGTGGTTGACATACATTTGCAGCGTGCATGAGGATGAGGAGACTCGGACAGGGACAGTCGGTTGTGTTTTGTGTTTCCGAGGAGATCCGGAGCAAAGTTTGTTCAAAGGCGAGCAAGCCAGCCGGCAGCGACGTCGATGTGTCGGATGTCTTGATGTGGTCCATCTCGGAGACGCATGCCGACATTCGTCGAGGCTTGCCCTTGTGGGCCTTGCAGGGAGAGAGATTCGAGCGCCAACGCGCTATTTGGGATCTCTGCACCGGGCCCACGGGGATCCGGATGCCTCTGGCGCAAGCTGAGCGGTTCCTCGAGGACGAGGCACAAACTCTCGAAGAGAGATACAAGCCTCGCCAGGTCACGTACACCATGGGCAATCACCCGGGTCTGCCGTTGAATCCATCAATGCCTCCCCGGCTGTTGGAGATTCGAGGACGATGCCGCGAGTTCAACTGCCTCGACTACCGGGGCTCGACGCTCGACGAGGAGCAGGAGCGCGAGTTGGCGCCGGAAATGGAGGAAGAGCGTCAGTTGGAGAGGCCAGCCGAGGCCGAGGCCGAAGGGCATTGGTTGCACCCTCATGTGCGCCACTTTGCCGTCAACGGCAATATAACTCTGCTGCATAAAGTGATTACGCCAGTTTTCCAAGCTCTCGAGGGTACCAGCGCGGCCGAGCACATCAATCTCGAAGAGTTCCTCCCGACCAATCTCCCGACCACCAAGGACTTCAGGCGGACTGTCCGCCTGAAGGGGAACAAGCTCTGTGCCGACTCGTACCAGCGGCCGGTTCAGTGGATCTTGAGCAGCAACCTGGGAGATGTCCAGGACCGGAAATTCCTCATCATCAGCCCGTTTGAGGCCCAGCGGCTGCTTCCACTCATTGAGAAGTCGGGCAAAGTGACGCTACACCTCTACTCGCCGCGGACCAACATGGCTTTTCCCACACTCGACACGCTGGACTTGTACGCGGTTCCGGCACTGAGAGACGACTTCGAGCTGCCCTTTGGCCTGAAGCAGATGCTGAACCTCTTTGCCGGCCAGCTCTACTTTTCAACCTTTGCCGATTACAGGGCGACGTGCGAGATGCTCGACTTGGCGTGGTGTCCGGCAAGGGAGGGCGAGGTTGTGCAGGCGGACGGGTTCATTTCCCGCAAAGCGGACGGTTCTCAGAGCAAGTTTTCACGGAGCCCGGTACAGTTCCTGCGCGTGTTTCTGGGAAGCATCCGTCGCGATCGCAGGGGATTTGACAAGACTCACTGGGGGCGAATGTTGGCAGGAGAGATTTTGACTGAGGCGGATTTTGCGTAGGAGTGGCATGAGACGTTTTTGACGCCAATGGCCATGAAATTGGGACTCTGTCGTGGAATCAGTCCAGGGATGGATAAAATTCAGATAGTTGGCGAGGGGAAACATCCGTGAGCGCCCGATAGGAACGAATGCGGTCTGATGAAATGCTGCCTAGACGCTGTGATTGCAGTAATGTGAGGATGGACATGGGGGTTCGATCTGACGGCGACGTTCTTGTTGAAAAGGTCGGACAGATGCGACTCGTCAGTGTCGTGCTTGGATCACGGAGCCCGTATGATGTCTCCACCTGCAAGGGACTTGGAAGTTGAAGTCATCGTTTGATCGATTCCTTTTCCTCTCTTCATCCCTGGTGTATGCCTCAACTAGGCTGGCTTGAATGCTTACATTGCACAACATGGCTCGCGAGCTTTGATTCTCCAGACAGTCTGAAAGATAAACTGGTAACAGAGGCAAGGATCGAAAGGCACATAAAGCTGAAGACATCATAAGCTCACTCTGCCTCGTCTCTTTTCCTGCGCCAGTCTCGGGATGCCATGGCCCTGCTGCCCGCCTGCGCGGCGCCCTCACCCTGACGCCCGGAGTCCTCCTCCGGGCTCGTGTTGTACGCACGACGGCCGTAGCGCGCGTCCGTGTGGCGCTCCATGAGCTTCTGGGGGATCTTGCCGGCCAGCGCGACCTTGAGCCGCCCTCCCGGGATGGGTTTGCCGTTGAGGGCCTGGATGGCTGCCCGCGTCTCTGCTTTGGTCTCAAAGTCGACGAAGCAGTAGTGGTGGTTGCCGGGCTTGGATCTCGTAGCCTCGTGCGGCGTTATTCGCTTACCGATGGCGATTCTGATCATCAAGGCAGGTCCAGTCAGCCAACAGGTCGGACGCATGTGCGTCTTGGGTTCACGCACGGGTTGAAGTGGGCAAAGAGCTCGCTTATCTCGCGGTTGTTCTGGGCCTGATCAATCATCTTGCCCAGCCCTCCGACGTATAGCCTCCGCCCCTCGTGGCCGTCCTCGACCATGTCGTCAAAGTGGTTCAGGGCCCCGCGAGGCCCCTGTTCGACACCCTTGCTGTTGGCTTGGACCGGGGCAGCCCTCCCGTCGCCGCCGCCGCCAGCCGACCTTGCGCCCCAGTCGCCCCAGCGCTCAAAGGCGAAGCGGTCGCCGCGGTCCGAGGGACGGTTTCGCTGCTTCTTGGGCTCGCAGGGGCCGACCTTGACGGGGCGTCCGCTGATGGCGACGTTTAGCGAGGACAGGGCGCGCTGGGCGGCATCGCTGTCGGGGAAGTCGACGAAGCAGTAGCCCGGGTTTCGTGCGCTGACGGGATCGACCGAGATGTGGATCTTTTCGAAGTCGCCGAAGCCGTTGGCGGCGAGCGCTTCCTCGATATTGTACGGCTTGACCGAGTAGAGGAGGTTGCCTGTTGTCCAAGCCGTACTCGAGTGTCAGCTTGGTCGGAGAGTGACAGAGCCATCGGGAGCTTCCATTGAGAGAATCGTACCCAGATAGATGCGTCGGCCTGCGGACAGGGCGTCGGGCTGGCTCTGCGGAGCGGACTCCATGACCATCGATGGACGCTGAGCTACCCCCTAGTAGACGGAAACACGCCCTCGCCCAATCCCTGGAGATGGCGTCGACGAAGCTGGGGTGGTCAAGTCCGAAACCCCAAAGGGCCCACGGCGGAGGCTGCGAGAGTTGATGATGCCGAGGTGACTACATGTAGGTGAGGCTGGGGATTGGGCTGCTGCGCGGTTTCCATGCGCAGAATGTGGGCAGCGCCAAGGAACTCTACGGATGCGCCTAGAACGTCGTGTCTCACCAACGAATGAACGTAATACGACTACAAGTGAGCATTTCTGGCTCACTCCGGGTTCCATAGTCTCGCCACCCAAAGTCAAAAGGGGCCTTCGATAATCAAGGATGGAATGGCAACATGAAGCCTTTTGGCAAAGGGCATCACATGAAGTTCTGGCGGCGGGTCAGACTTTGTTCGCGTTTACCGCTCGCGAAATAATGCCGCATCGCCAGATTGAGGCCCTGTAATGATGAGATGGCTTCAAGTTCACCGACTCTTTCCCGCATGACAGTATTGACGTATAGCCTCAGCTCTCAATGACTGATTTCAGAAAAAGAACAAGCTGTTGCTTGAAACTTCGCCTTCTCTTACGCTTCAAATGGGGCCATGTCTTGTTTCAGACGCTACCAGGGGGATCCCCAGCTCATGTATGTCCCGGGAGCGCAAAACTGACTTGGGGGACTGGAAGCGCAATCGGAACCCTTTCCGAGGCATGAGAAAACTCGGTCGGAAAAGCCGAGCGCTAGCTACAAGTTATAGAACGTGAGTTGAGAGCTCATCTATAAACTCCCATCGCCACGCAGCATAAACGTTTAACGGTTCAATGGGTGAGGCCGTGTCGGCCGTTTGCAAGCGTAGAGGATCGAGTTGCAGTCTCCACGAAAGGTGCCATGCGCGGCCACGACTGGAGCATCTGATCTTCGAAGGTTGGGCAATCCAGCTTGAAACCAGTGGTTCAGGAAACGTCGCAAGTTCATCCTTGAATTCTCGAAAGAACCGCGGAACACGACTTGCAGCTTACAAATGCAGGTCGCTCAATGCTGCGGCCTCGTTTGAAGTCGGCCACCACGTCTCTGACTGGAGTCTCTTCGTCCAGGGCATCCGATATCCTCGTCAGGAATGATCAGTTCGGGTCCCAACTTCCCACGGCCTTGAGGAAGTCCTGACAGATCCTCTTGTCAGCAAAGGCCATTTCTTCCATGTCGTCTACAGATAATATGGCCTTCTGCTTAAGTTCCTTGACCAGGATGGTGCAAATCTCCGCCTTTTCTCCTTGACGCCATGTTTTTATGTCCATGGGCCTCTGTCTTGCCCAATGGGACCATGTACCGCCCTACAAGTCGTGCCAAGTGGTTTTGTAATGGGTTAAGCCTCCCTTGGAATAGAAGCGCATGGTGACCGAGAGTCGGTGCAAACACAACGATTGCGCTGTATAGCGATTGCTAATGAGGATAGCATCTTGACTTTGAAGCACCCCTTTTCACGCCCTCTCGTCTCGTTCTTGACAGCCACGCGTCGTGCTTCAGGTGACGTTTCATGAGATGCACTCTCATGGCCGCTGCGCACTACCATGATGCGGCTGAGAAGCTGTCGACGCTGCACCACACGCCATGAGCTTCCCATGAGGCTGATCCGCTATCTGCTGGCATCTTGAGGCTCGCTCGGTTTGATCTGCAACGCTCAGCGCCCGCGGTGCAATCTATGGAGTAATACCATAGAGATGAGTCGTGCTCTGTCGCACCTCGGACGAGCCCACGCAGGAGGACCTCGACCGACTCTCGGAAAGGACCTGAGGATATTACCTTGCAGCGATCCTCACATATCCTCAGATCATTCGTCGCCGACTGCGGCGCGGCTGCAGACTCCCAGTAGGCTCAGTGTCCCTCCTCTGACAAGTCTCAAGTCAAGATCTGTATTATGAATCCTTCAACTACAGCCATGATCGTCAGCATTACTTGAATCCTCGATGCGGACGGACCAAGTGTTGACTCATCACTGAAGCTCGATCAAGGGTAAATCCCCGTCGCGTCCGCACCTGAGTATGACCAACCACATTCTTCCCGGGTTTCAAGTTCATTCCCATTTTCTGCCGTCGGCAACAATGTCTGTATCGATCGACTCACCGTCACGCCCCCCTGGCGAAACAAAAAGACCCAACAGAGCCTGCCTCTCGAGCCGTCGCCGGCGGCCCCCAATCCAACCCGGTCTGCATCCGACAAGCCGTTGGGCCCGCCGACATCGCAGCCGTGAGAGAGTGCTTCCAAGCTTACACGGAATGGCTCAACGAGGACATTTCCTTTCAAAACTACGCCGCTGAGCTCGACGGACTGCCGGGAAAGTATGCACCCCCATCCGGCGCCTTGCTGCTCGCCGTTAATCCCTCCGACGACCGGGCCTTGGGCTGCATCGCCATGCGGCCGATACAGCTCAAGCCCGAGTATCTTTGCAATCGCAAAGCCAATGTCAAAGTGTGCGAGATGAAGCGACTGTTTGTCTACCCCGAAGCCAGGGGGCGGCAGGTTGCGAGCGCATTGGTTCAACAAGCCATGGCATTGGCGCGTCGGGCAGGTCATGACGAGATGGTGCTCGACACCATGATCAGAATGCAGCCCGCCATCAAGCTGTACGAGTCGCAATGGTTTGCAGTATCCGAGCCCTACTACTTCAATCCTTTACCGGGAGTGGTTTATTTCACGAGGAATCTACGCCACGAATCTCCAACGGGGACGTGACGTGAAAGCGCTCCTCTCTTGGACGGTTCCATTGATCTGTTCTAGAACCAAGCACAGTTCCAACTTACGACGTCGTCTTCCCGGATGTGCTTCTCTTAAGGAAGAGGGCAAGAACGGCGGGGAAAGAATAGATGGTAATATTCCAGAAAAGGATCTCTCAGGCAGCTCAAGACGAGCCATGTGGTGTTGTTTGTGATCGTCTCAGGTGAATGAATCCATGAATGAATCTCAATGGTAACGGGGCCCGCGGGTCTGCGGGCCTTGACGCGGAGCCATCAAACGCTCCCCCAGCTACCCCGAGACCAGCACAAACAGGCCATGTGGGCCCCAACCGGAATGTTTCCATGCTTCTAGCTCGTTTCCGCAATGGTGCTCTGATCGTGGCACATCCCACCAGGACTCCAGGAGTATCAGACGGACAGTACTGTACCATATGCAGGGACATGAACGCCCCCTTCTCTCGCGAATCGTATTATGTGCGTATGTACAGTGGCGATCAAACATGGGACGTGGACTCGACCGCCATGACCAAGTATCATCACTCTCGCACTTCCTGGCGGGCTTCTTGTGAGTCTGTGACAAACCAGTCACACTAGACAATGCCCCATTGGATGGCCGGCACAGTAGCGACCGGACCCTTCAATGCTAGCATGACCGTCCTCGATCCTCTTGAGGCATGCTGGCGACCGGATCGAGGGGATCCGAGCCGGCTTATTCTGGAAACTGCCATCTGGAGATCCCTCACTATAAGCTGGGTGTGGCAGAGAGCGGACGCGAAACAGGTTTGATACATGCATCCAGTCTCTCAGCCTGGCTTGCCTAGGTATATAATTGTGGTTGTATGAGAGTGTCGGACGTTTGGGGGCAGTGTATATAGGCCATTCGTCCGAAGGACACATCCCCGAAGGTCCAGCCTTAATTCTCGTCCACTGTTCTTTCGACCTTGTCCTCTTTCATCTTCGCCTTCCACCACGCGTGCAAGAGAGCTGGCTCTGAAGCATCCCTTTCCTTCAATCCTTCGAATCTTATTTCTTTTAGTTTGGATAAGGCAGGCATAGACATGAGAAATCGGGCCTAGACTTCACTTCGATATCAACACTGTCCGGCTCGAGGCCGAGTTCGCGCCGATCTTTTCAAGACCTATACATACAATATATAATAATGCGAGCTTGCCTGGGCGTAGCGCTCCTGGCGAGCGCTGCGAGCGCCCGGCCCTCGCTATGGGCGGCAAGTTTTGGAGGCGTGGCGAAGACTATCAAAGGCGCGTTGACCAACCGACTGGCGCACACGGGAACGTGAACGTGACTTATTAACAACGAAAACAGCCAGAGAAGAGGCCAAGGCCGGTGAAAACTCTACCGCCACTGCGGTTAACAAGCTGCACACCGTCGTCGTTGGCGGTCCGCAAGATCTCTTCATGCCCAACATGATCCTTGCAGCGGTGGGCGATATCGTACAGTTTCAGTTCAGCAGCGGCAACCACACCGTGACCGAAAGCGCCGAGAACGAGGGATGCACGCCGCTTCAGAAAAAAGACCCCAAGGCCATCCACAGCGGACACATTCCCTTCGAAGCGGGCCAGACCACGGTTGGTACATTCAACATGCCGGTGACGAGAAAGGGGCCCATGTTTCTTTACTGCGCGACCGGGCCCCACTGCCAGACCGGACAAGTCATGATGATCAACCCGTAAGAGAACCCCCTTTTGTTCCGTGGCTGAATATGCCTGCCACGACAGGAAAGCTGACGGGATTTGACATCAGTTCAACCCCGCAACAGCTGGCCCAGTACGCCATGGTGTCGGGGCAAGCCAAGGAGAACATTGACGGAATTCAATTATCCGGTGGCACCGTCAACCAGATCGAAAAGGCAGCCTCGTTGATCGTCGAGAAACCTCCGGAAGAGGATGAGAAGGGCCCCGAGAAGAGCCCCAAGAAGGGTGCCGAGATGAGCCCCGAAGACACAACCAACGCCGGGAAGGACACCCGGATGGTCGAGGGGGGTTAAGAGGCTTCGGGCACCGCTGGAGAGGAGACCGCGGCCGCAGGGACACCCGCCATTTGACGACCGAAAGATACAACAGAGTGGTCAAAGCTGTAATGACGGCTATACGAGCACAGTATACAGGGTATATATCTTTTCGGCGCCTAAACTTCATTCACCTGTTTATATGTCATCCGAGGATTGGAAGGCGCATTGGCTCCTTACTTGCTTCATCATGATGAACGGATGACTTGGCGCAGATATCTGCGTCAGAAGCGACGAGGCCTTCCCTCTCGGAGGATATGCCGGACAGCGGGACTCGTCAGACGAGCTATGCTGATACGGCGTTTCCACAAACACTTGACAGCTGGACAACTTTGCTCACCTATACTCGGTCGAATCGCTTTTCCTTTCTCTTCTTGCGAATATTACATGCAACCTGTGATTCGATGCTGGGGAGGTCGCTGAAATATCCACCCTAAACGCAGAGAGGGATGGTAGTGAGAGAGAGTGTTGAATAAGGCCATTGCGGATTTGTTCTTACCAGAGAGAGGCCCCGTGCCGCTGTTAGCCTTGAAAGCCCATTGCGTATAAAGGTCTTGTTTGATCTAGCGAGTGCGTCTCGGCACTGAGGCGAGGGTTGTCGTTTCTCGAAGGATGGCTGTGAATGACGTTTAGGAGAGCACGACTTTTTCGGCGTTGGTCTTAATAGCTGCTACGTCACTCAAATCACACAATACTTCCCTAAGGGAAGCACGATTTGAACACGTTTCTATACGTGCTTACAGTATATGTCGGCTGCGTAGAAGCGCCCATCCAAGGTGGGACATTTTTATTGTGATGATGCAGCGAAATGAAACTCGTTGAATGGTCGAGCCTACGGCGGAGTACATTCACTGGCTTCGCATTCACAAATCAGAACATGCAGGCCAGTAAGACTTCAGTTGCGGGAGTTGAGCTGGGCTGCGATACACGTGTATACAATAACGATGGAGCAAGATACAGGGCGATAAGACAGCCTCTCCTCAACTGTGTTGTGCTGAGGAATGCTAGGTGTCCTCGACATCAAATCTGTTTTAATCCAATATTACATGGGGCGCGTTGCGGTGTCGGCGATCCATGACATGGGGCAGCCTGGAACGGACTTTTGGCGGCGGACTTTTACGAGGCGGACTTTCCGAGTCTGTGTACGGAGCAATCGTGCTGGGCAATGGTACCTCATACAGTACGAGTTTTCCTACACAGCCTTTGTAACTATTGTGTATGGAGTGGAGGAGCTCGGTGTCGGAGTGCCCGAGGGACGTCAGCTTGGGTCTCAAGGATAACAGCCCTTGGCAGCTTTATGTAACTTGTGACTAGGAGAGATGAAACAGGGTCCACGGAGCAATAACCCGAGGATGGCGGTGCTCTGGCCGCCGGTCGGGGCCACGGAGAGCTCTACCAGCCCGCTGCACGGCACGGTCCGAACCCCCGGGGGTTCGGATCTGTGCCATCCTCGTTGAACCTGTCTCACTTTTACACGCGACGTGACAAATAAACACAAAACAAAGACAGAGTCTGCTGCGAACAACTTGACCGAGCCCCCCGACCGCCGGCCGGGCGAGCGGCGCCCTACCGATGAGTCGACGAGCTCGTGATCCGTAACGGGTCCAATTGCCACCTTGGACTTGGCCCCGCGGCCCCTCATATTATTGTTCTGATTCCACAAGACACATGCCAAATCGAGAGTGTTTTCCCGGGTCCTTGTCCTTCTGTCGTCCTCGTTATGCTTTTGCAAGCCATGGATTGTCTCTCGTGAGATACCCTGACGCTGTCACAAACTCTGTGGCCGTTTTCTGGTAGCCGCGGCTCCCCGGCGCACCGAGACCCCGAGCTGGCTGCTTGTATCCGTCCACGAACGGACATCAGAGTTTGGCGGACATTGCAAGGTTAAGGTTTTGCGAAATGCCTAGCTGCCGGGCTGAGGGATGCAGGTTGGACGCCGGCACTGCCACCGGCACCCATGGCCGCTCTCCATTCGCCCCAGTCCCTTTTCCTTGCTGTATCTTTTCTCCTTCGTCCCGGGCATCAACAAATGGCGCGGGTCCCCGCTCAATAGGTATTACGTACCATACGAGCCTGACCATTTGTCGGCCGTTTTTGGTCACCGGGCTCGCCCGCCTGCGTCATCATCACCACAAGTGGTGGGCCTGGCGAGCCATCACGGTGACTCGAAGTGGAGAGGAGTGGAAAGAAACTGGCCTAGGAGGCCCGGGCGTCTGGGCTTGTAGCGGACGGTTCCGAGAACTCCGTCACCCAAAGTCCGCTGGAGCTCCGGGTGCCCGGTCCAGGCGCCGCCCACGGCCCAGCCGCGAAGCTCCGCAGGGCCTGGCTGGCTCGTCGAGGTCTTGACTTTGATAACTACATGTAGCCTCTGACCCCCGTTCAGGGTCCAGCCCTTCTTGATGCACGTTTGCTGCCTTTGACTACCATCGCCACAACATTTGAATAGCTGCGCATGTTTTGAGACCGCTCACATTGAAGTACAAGCCACGGCTTCCAGAGCGGGCTTCTCGCCGCAGCAATACGATATCCCTACTGGCCTCACCCGAACATGACGAGTCCCACGCCAAACGCCGGGGGTACCGGTGACGCCCCGGACGGCGTCGATTCCATATCACAAGTCCCTCGCCCGGGCACCGCGGCCGGAGAGCACATGAACCAAGGACAGGTGTCGGCCAACCATGACATCGAGAGCAGCGCCTACTCGTCATCGTCGGCCAGCACGTCGCTCAAGGAGAACGTCGCCGAGTCGGGCGACGCTCGCCACGGCAGTCCCGTCCAACGCTACGATAGCAACGCCATAATCGGGACCGAGGACCGGACCGAGCTGGTGCGCATCGCGACGGCCCTCTCGCGGCGACGGTCCAGCGTGGCTGTCCAGCCCCAAGCCAGCAAGACCCTCGGCGCCATCGACGAGTACGACACGGCCCTCGACCCGGAGCACGGCGACTTCGACCTCGCAAAGTGGATTCGCCGCTTCATCGAGCAGCTCCAGGAGCAGGGTCTGACGGAGCGGCGCACCAGCGTCGCCTTCCGCAAGCTCGACGTCTTCGGCTCCGGCTCCGCCCTTCAACTGCAGCAGACGGTCGGCTCTGTCCTCGCGGCCCCGCTGCGCATGGGCGAGTTCTTCAGCTTCGGCAAGAAGGAGCCCAAGCAGATCCTCAGGAACTTTGAGGGCTTCCTCGCGAGCGGCGAGCTGCTCGTCGTCCTCGGCCGGCCCGGGTCTGGCTGCAGCACTCTTCTCAAGACGCTGTGCGGCGAGCTGGAGGGCCTCGAGCTCGGCCAGCAGTCGAGCGTCCACTACAATGGCATCCCACAGCGACAAATGCAGCGCGAATTCAAGGGCGAGGCTGTCTACAACCAAGAGGTATGTGTGCCCTGTAGTTTCTCCTGCTTGTGGGTTGGCCGCGACTTGAATCAAAATAAAGGGGGGCAGGCTGTGGGATACAATGTAGGAGAACACGGACTGACAACTCAATCTCTCCCCGTCTAGGTCGACAAGCACTTCCCTCACCTCACCGTCGGCCAGACGCTCGAATTTGCGGCCTCGGCGCGCACGCCCTCGCACCGCATCCAGGGCATGTCGCGGCAAGAGTTCTGCCGCTACATTGCGCGCGTGGTCATGGCCTCCTTTGGCCTGAGCCATACGTACAACACCAAGGTCGGCAATGACTTTGTGCGAGGCGTCTCGGGCGGCGAGAGGAAGCGCGTCAGCATTGCCGAAATGGTCCTCGCCGGCTCGCCCATATCTGCTTGGGACAACAGGTTCGTCCCCTTGCCCCCCTCCCCTTTATGCAAACAGAAGTTGGCATCAAATCTATGCAAGGAAACGTGCCAACATGAGTAAACAGCACCCGCGGCCTCGACTCGGCAACGGCCCTCAAGTTTGTCCAGTCCCTGCGCATGGCGTGCGACTTTGGCTCACAGGCCAACGCCGTCGCCATCTACCAAGCCAGCCAGGCCATCTACGACCTCTTCGACAAGGCCACGGTCCTCTACGAGGGCCGGCAGATCTACTTCGGCCCGGCCAGCCAGGCCAAGCGCTTCTTCGAGGAGCAGGGCTGGTACTGCCCCCCGCGCCAGACGACGGGCGACTTCCTCACCTCGGTCACCAACGCGCAGGAGCGTAAGGCGCGCGATGGCATGGAGCAACGGGTGCCGCGGACGCCTGACGAGTTCGCCGCCTACTGGCACCGGTCGCCCGAATATCAGGCGCTGCAGGCCGACATCGACGCCCACGAGCAGGTCTACCTGGTCGAGCAGCAGGCCGAGACGGTGGCCCAGTTCCGGGAGCAAAAGAACTACCGGCAGGCCAAGCACGTCCGGCCCGGCTCGCCGTACCTCATCAGCATCTGGATGCAGATTGCGCTCAACACCAAGCGCGCCTACCAGCGCATGTGGAACGACATCTCGGCGACGCTGACGCAGACGGTGTCGCAGCTCGTCATGGCTCTCATCATCGGCTCCATCTTCTTCGGCACCCCTGACGCCTCTGCCGGCTTCTACTCAAAGGGTTCGGTCCTCTTCATGGCCGTGCTCATGAACGCCCTGACGGCCATCTCGGAAATCAGCAGCCTCTACGACCAGCGGCCCATTGTCGAAAAGCATCACTCCTATGCCTTTTACCATCCTGCCACCGAGGCCATGGCTGGTATCGCCGCCGACATACCCATCAAGTTTGTCACCTCGACCGTCTTCAACATCGTCCTCTACTTCATGGCTGGCCTGCGCAGGGAGCCCGCTCAGTTCTTCCTCTACTTTCTCATTACCTACATGTCTATTTTTGTCATGAGCGCCGTCTTCAGGACCATGGCCGCCGCCACAAAGACCGTTTCGCAGGCTCTGGCTCTCTCGGGTGTCCTGGTCCTGGCTCTCGTCATCTATACTGGTTTCGCCATTCGAGTTCCTGAGATGCATCCATGGTAGGTTCATGTCCGGCCCCCGTCCTTTGATTCGCTGCTTGCGCTGGTTGCATGTGCTGACTCTGGCTTGCCTGGAGGTTCTCGTGGATACGATGGATCAACCCCATATTCTACGCCTTTGAGATTCTCATCGCCAACGAGTTCCATGGGCGCGAATTCACCTGCTCCAGCATCGTACCTCCATACTCGCCGCCCCGGGGCGACTCGTGGATCTGCCAAGTCGCCGGCGCCGTAGCCGGGCGGTCGACCGTGAGCGGCGACGCCTTCATCGCCGCCGACTACAGCTACTCGTACTCGCACGTCTGGCGCAACTTTGGCATCCTCTGTGCTTTCCTGGTGGCCTTTATGACCCTCTACTTCATCACCACTGAACTGAATTCTGCCACGTCGAGCACGGCCGAGGCCCTAGTCTTTCAGCGCGGTCACGTCCCCGAGTACCTCCAAAAGGGCAACGAAAAGGTAGTCCAGGAGGAGGGCGGAGCCGTAGGTGCCGCCGCGGACGAGCGCGAGACCAAGGGATCCGATGTATCCAACGTCGGGGGCTTGGCACCGCAAAATGATATCTTTACCTGGAGCGATATAATTTACCACGTTGATATAAAGGGAGAGCAGCGCCAACTCCTCGACCACGTTTCGGGCTGGGTCAAGCCTGGGACACTGACAGCTCTCATGGGTGTTTCTGGCGCTGGCAAGACGACGCTTCTCGATGTGCTCGCCCAGCGGACCACCATGGGCGTTATTACGGGCGACATGCTGGTCAACGGAAAGCCCTTGGACCCCAGCTTCCAGCGCAAGACGGGCTACGTTCAACAGCAAGGTACGCTCACGTTCCGTCGGAATCATGAAGAGAACACAATAAACTGACTTGATGCCACGCGTAGATCTGCATCTCGAAACAGCGACAGTCCGCGAAAGCCTTCGGTTCAGCGCACTGCTCCGACAACCTCAGTCCGTCAGCCAGGAGGAAAAGTACGGCTTCGTGGAAGAAGTCATCAAGATGCTCAACATGGAGGACTTTGCCAACGCCGTCGTCGGCGTGCCGGGCGAAGGTCTCAACGTAGAGCAGCGCAAGCTGCTCACCATTGGCGTCGAGCTGGCGGCCAAGCCGAAGCTGCTGCTCTTCCTCGACGAGCCGACAAGCGGGCTCGACTCGCAGAGCTCGTGGGCCATCTGCGCCTTTCTCCGCAAGCTGGCCGACTCGGGCCAGGCCATCCTCTGCACCATCCACCAGCCCAGCGCAATCCTCTTCCAGGCTTTTGACCGGCTGCTCTTCCTGGCCCGCGGCGGCAAGACGGTCTACTTTGGCGACATTGGCGCAAATTCGCGAACCCTGCTCGACTACTTTGAATCGCACGGCGCCCGCCGCTGCGGCGACGACGAGAACCCGGCAGAGTACATGCTCGAGATGGTCAACGCCGGCACCAACGACCGCGGCCAGGACTGGCACTCAGTCTGGGGCTCGAGTCAGGAGGCCGAGGGTGTCCGGGCCGAGATGGAGCGGATCCACGCCGAAAAGCAGCAGGCTGCCGACGGCGACGGAGACGCGGACAGCCACGAGCACGCCGAGTTCGCCATGCCCTTCACGACCCAACTCTGGGTTGTGTCGTACCGCGTGCTGCAGCAGTACTGGCGGATGCCGAACTATATCTTTGCCAAGTTTATGCTTGGCATTGTCGCTGGTCTTTTCATCGGCTTTACCTTTTTCAACGCCGACGGCACCCAGGCGGGCACGCAAAGCGTCATTTTTTCCGTCTTTATGCTCACCACCCTCTTCTCTACCCTTGTACAGCAGGTATGTCTTCCCTTGTTATGTCCTTCTTATTTGCATTCAGGGGAGTGTTTTACTGACCGCAGTTCTCTATCAGATACAACCTCTGTTCATCACGCAACGCTCCCTGTACGAGGTCCGCGAGCGTCCGAGCAAGGCCTACTCGTGGAAGGCCTTCATCATCGCCAACATCATGGTCGAAATCCCCTACCAGATCGTTACGGGCATCTTCATCTTCGCATGCTTCTACTACCCAGTCGTCGGCGTGCAGAGCTCCGAACGGCAGGGCCTGGTCCTGCTCTTCATCATCCAGCTGCTCATATTCAGCTCTTCTTTTGCCCACATGACCATTGTCACCATGCCCGACGCCCACACGGCGGGCAGCGTCGTCACCATTCTGTCAATCATGAGTATCATCTTCAGCGGCGTTCTGCAGACGCCCGACGCGCTGCCCGGCTTCTGGATCTTCATGTACCGAGTCTCCCCCTTTTCCTACTGGATCAGCGGCATCGTGGCCACGGAACTTCACGACCGGCCCATTACTTGCTCCGCCAAGGAGACTTCCATCTTCAATCCGCCCCAAGGCATGTCGTGCGCCCAGTACCTGGCGCCACTCCTTCAGCAGGCTCCGGGGCGGTTGCAGAACCCGGACGACATGTCGCAGTGCCGCTACTGCCCCGTCACCAATGCTGACCAGTCGCTGGCGGCGTCCAAGATTTTGTGGTCCGAACGCTGGCGCAACTATGGCATCTTCTGGGCCTTTATCGCTTTTAATGTTTTCACGGCCGTCCTGCTCTACTATTTGTTCCGAGTCAAGAGGTGGAATTCCAAGTCGTCTGGTCTTTCAAAACTCTTGTCTCGCTTCAAGAAGACCAAGAAAGGCGAGTCGTGAGCGATTTTGGGTATATTTTGGATAGAGAAAAGTCGTCATTCACGCGGAGAGCACGAAACCGTTGATGTTGCTATTATATGATAATGTCGTTAAACTAATGGTTTGTGTTGCATGAGCTGCTATAGTGTGAAGTAATAGAAAAAGACTTAAGAAGTATACTTCATTAAAGAATTGTCTATGTTTCTTCTTCTAGCCTTTTATATGCACTCACTTGCTGCGTGATGCTTGAGGACATTTGTGCCGTACCGTGCCAACCAAGGGTGAGACGAACTGATGACATCAAAGTTGGGTCGAGGCCACGTATAATACAAAATTTTATCTTCGGAACGTGACATGGAGGGCAACAAAAGAAAGCGAACCGGTGGGCCGTTGATACTATCCAGCTCCGCTCCATAAAGCACCAACAACATGAATTGTACGTGTGCTGCAATCATGCGTGAGTAGGGAAATTGTTTCCCAACACTCTTGCCACCCGTTTCCGGTTCTTTGATCCGCCTTTTTATAGAGGAACAGGGAGATTCCTCTCCAACGCCCCGCGCCAGGTAGGCAGCGTCCTCTTCCACTCGGTGCTCGACATGAGATCCTCGATGGCACTGCCCCATTTAACCAGCTCGTCATCTTTCCACGCAGTCTGCATGATGCCCAGTCCGATCCCCATGCCCGAGTCCTGGTGGACGCCGGCAGGCAGAGTGATCATGGGGTAGCCAGCCTGCGCGGCGATCTGGTAGCTCTGGCCCGGTTCCAGAGGCACCAGGAGACCATTGAGCTGCGTGCCGTTGTAATCGAGGGCCATGTCGATGCCTTCGCGCGCCATATTTTGGCGATAGTTGAGCGCCTCGTGGTATTTGGTGTCCTTCAGGCCCTTGGTGGCGAGGGATGCCTCCAGGCCGTCCTGGCCGGAGTAAAAGGCCGGATGAGATTGGGGGAAGCCGCCTTCGGTGCCGGAATAGCGCTTGTTGTAGTTCACAATGTCCTCGAGGGAGCACATTGGGGAGAACCTAAGCTTTTTGAGATAGTCGCTCAGGTTATTGTAAAAGTCGACCTTGATATAGGTGTACTCGGACCCTTCCGTCCCGTTTTTCTCTGGGTCGTGGCCAAAATCCCAGTCCCAGCCGGTAGGGCTCACAATCCGTTCATGGTTCTTAATCTCGGTCATATAATGAATGTTCGCGCCTTTCGCCCTGAGGAGGTCGACTACGCCCTTGAGGACGCGCCGCGTCTCTGTGTCCGTGTAAGTCCAGAAACTGTCCCATGGGATGCCAAAATTGGCCCCGACCAAGATTTCCTTCGTGCTCAACAGCTCTTCGAACCCTCCTCCGGGCAGTTTGAGCTTCTTCTGGTGCTCGGACATGGGGTCCAGTTCGTCGGGGCCGCGGATGGCGTCAAGGGGCAGGACGGCGTCGCGCACGGTACGGCCAAAGGTGCCAACCGAATCCTGATTTTCCGACTCGGGAATGACGCCGGCCCTCGAGGTCAGGCCGACGGTTGGCTTGAAGCCGACAATTTGGTTGCGCATGGCCGGGTTGATGACTGCATCTTTCCATGTCAGAAACTGGATATCCGACACACGTGCAACGCAAACAAGGCCACTCGCAGCTCATGGAGGCAGAGACCTCCCAAATCTCACCACTTACCGCTGCCGTCCGTCTCGGTGCCGATGGAAAAAGCAATGGCGTTGGCTGCCACGCCGACGGCGCTGCCGGAACTGCTGCCGCCCGGATTGACTGTCAGGTTGTAGGCGCTCCGGCACTGGCCGCCGCGAGGCGAGTAGCCCTCGGAGTAGTTGGAGCTTCGCATGTCGGCCCATTCGCTCATGGTAGCTTTGCCAAATAGGACCGCGCCGGATTTGCGGAGCCTTTCCACGACCGTGGCGTCGCGATGCGGACGGCTGCCCAGCAGCGCCCAGCTGCCGGCCGTCGTCTCCATCAAGTCGTTGGTGGCGATGTTGTCCTTGACTGTAAACGGAATACCATGCAGCGGGCCACGGGGCCCCGTACACCTTCGCTCCCTGTCAAGGTCCATGGCAATGTCCATCACGTCTGGGTTTTCCTGCATGACGGAGCTTTGAGTTTGCGGAGGAACCGGGCCCGGCCGGTGTCAGCTCTTCCAGCCCGAGACGGCATGTGTGTGTACTTAAATGCATTGCAGCTCCAGCGGCGAGCCGCGGGATGTAGGGGTCAGACATTAGATGGGACGGAGTCAGGACTCACTTGAGATACGGCTTCGTCTGAAAAGTCCGCTTGAGATAGCAGCTGACGAGCTTGGCCGAAGTCAGCCACCCGTCCTCCATGGCCTTCTGCATCTGCGCGATGGTAGCCTCCTCCAGCGTGAAGTCCGCGCACTTGGACATGACCAGGTGCTCCGGCAGTTTGGCATTGTTTTCCGACACAGACAATGGCACGCCGTTGCAGTAGCCATCCTTGGGCGTATCTCCCGTCAGGCCTACCGCTGCTGATGCGAGCAGGCCCAACAACTGAAAAGGGCGCAGGGGCATCGCCGGTCGTCTTCGGCGTCGCCCTTTTCTTCTTTACTCTTTTCCTTTGAGCTGGATTACGCTACCCCTGCTCGTGCGGGCGGTGTTGAACGGTAGCTGACGACTGCGAAGCCTCGTCTCCCACGTGGTAATGATGGCAGACCACTATACGAAAATGGTAAGAAAATGTTACGCGTGGACGACGTGAGAAGAGAGGGGTCGATGCGAGAAACTTAGCCGCGGTCATCTGCTCTGCCTGAAGTGCGAAGTCAGAGACCCAGTGGGCGTCTCCCTGCACTCTTACGATTCCGGTCCTTTAAGAAGGCATAAAGGGAATATCTTATTGCCGGGGAATTAACCGTATAAATAAAGGGATATAGAAGGGTGAATTTTACGATAAAATTACCTAATAGGTCTATATAAATTCTTCGATAAAAAATGGTAGCTTTTTGCCCTTAATTTTTAATAAGCCTAATTTCCTTCCGCTTTCTTTAAAAGGAAGGAATCTTCTAGGATATAACGTCTAAGCCTATAAGGCTAGTCTAGAAGAATTAGACTATTAGGCTTATCGAGGAAAAATTCGGTTAATTTATTCTCGAATTCTAACCTATTTATAGGAAGGAACTACTTAAGAAGTTAGCTTTCCCTACTAGGAGGAATAGGTCTACTATAAAGGACCCTCTTCCGGCAGCCTAAGGAGACGGTCTTCTTTAGCACGCACGACTTAGTTACCTAGGCCCCTTAGCTTTATATAAGCTAGGCCTATAATAGGGCGTACGAATAAGGGGCCTAAAGACCGTCGAATATAAATACTACGGCTAAGGAAAGACTAAGAGATAAATTTCTAAACAGACCCCTATATAGCTAGAATAGCTATATAAGGAAATTTAGGTTAACTAGACCGACGTCTCTAGGGACTAGGAAAGCTTTATTAGGGTAATGTTTTTTATAGACGCTTTTTTAGGGATGGTTTTCCCCTATTTCTTATAGACCTACCTAAGTAAGTATAACTAGCCTACCCTCTAAGACTTCGTTAACTAAATAAAATCCTACTTCGGCTATAAGGTAAAGAAGATATAGTTTAACGGAGAGCTATTTATAAAAGATATCTTAAAATAGCTTCGAAAAAGGGGCATTTTACCCCTCCCGTTAGCACCGAATACCTAGGCCTAGAATAGAGGGGTAGAAAGATTAAGGGGTGCTATAATAAAAAGGGCCCGTACGATAAGACTTACTATAAGGCTTCTATATAACCTTTAAAGGGAAGTTATTAAAACCGCCTATTACCTTCCGAACTAGACCCTAAGGGACCCTAGGGGCCTAAGGGAATATAGGGACCTAGAGACCCTTTTTAAGACCTAAGGAATAGACTAGAAATCTCCCCTTAAGCTCTTTATAAAAAAGAGGGCCTTACTAGCCTACCTTTATACCTATAGCTATAAGGCATACGCTATAATAACTAATATATAGCTAAAAAGGAAGAAGAAAAAAAAGCTTAATCTTAGAGCCTTTATTAGTTACCTTATCGGCTATAATTTTATAAATATCTTCTAGATCTAGATTCCTTTTTTATAAAAGGTTATTTTAACTAAGGATATAATTTTCGATAAATCTAGCTTCTTCGACGAAAAGCGGGATTAATAGCCCCTCTTACTCTCTTAATATTAGCTAATTTAAAAGATCTAAATTCCCCCTTCCTAATAGTTAAAAGAAGAGGCCCTAAATAAGGAAACGGAAGAAGAAACTATCTTTAAAGTAGTTAAGGATAACGCCGACTTTAAAGAAGAAGAGGAAGCTACTAGATTAGATAATCTAAACGAAGAAGGAGACTATAGGAAAGCGGTAGAGCTAAAAGACGCTTACCTTCCTACGCCTCCTCTTATAAAATAAGAAGAAGATCTAAAAGTAGCTTTTTTTATTAGTCTTCCCGTCTCGACCCCTAAGGGGGTAGGAAAGGCACCTCTCTTAAAGGATTACCTAGCTGCCTTATTATCCCTACTTTAAAAGGCAAAGGAAGGTATAGGGCCCGATACGGTTACTAAAGAAGACTAACCTCTCTCTTATTTTAATCGTTTTTCCGACTTCTATCTAACGCTTATAAAAGATAGTTCCTATAGAGTATTTATAGTAGGCCGGCTTTTTAAGCTACTATTAGTAAGGAAGGTATATAAAAGAGACCTCCTAGACCTACTAGTAAACTAAAAGCAGCTAGAAAAACACCCCTTTAAAGACTAGTTTTTCTAGGCCTAGAAAGACTACTTAGCTTTATATAAAGAGATATAGTCTTTTAAAGAGGTCCTTAAGGAAAAGGCAAGAGGAAAATAGGTCCTTAGCTATAAGTAGGTCTTTATTTATAAGACTAATAAATATAGCTTCCTTTAAAAGTATAAGGCCTAGCTAGTTATCTATAGGAACTAGTAGGAAAAAGGGGATCTACTTACTAAGGCAACTACCTTAATAGGGATATCTTTTTAGACCCTTATAGCTATAGTAGTAGAATTCGACCTCGAACTTAATTAGATAGATATAGTTAACGCCTTTATTAACTACCTACTTAAGGAAGAAGAGGTTATCTATATACGCCTTCTACTAGGCTTTTAATAGCTAGGAAAGGTTCTATAGCTTAAGAAAGCTTTATATAGACTATAAAGATTACCCTTTCTTTAGTAATAGTATTTAATAGGTTCCCTTAAAGCCTTAGGCTTTAAGAAAGTCCCTTAGGAACTATATATAATATAAAAGGGTAAAATTATAGTCTTTTTCTATATCGATAATATTATCTAAGCCTACTTAAAAAAAGAAGAAGTAACTACTAAGGAGGCTATAAAAGGCCTATAATAAAGGTATAAGATAACTAAGCTAAGGGAGCTAAAGTAGTTCCTAGGGATATAAATCCTTTAAAATAGGTCCTAATAGACTATCTAGCTTACCTAGGACGCTTATATCGATAAGGTCGCTTATAAATTCCTCCCTAGGTCCCTTAATAAGAAGCTTCCCTCTACGCCTATATTAAATAAAGAGCTTTTACTTAATCCGTCCTTTTAAGTAAGGGAGTAAGAGAAATACTAATACTAATAAAAGGTAGGCTCCTTACTTTTTTTAGCTATTTTTACTAGACCGGATATCTCTTTTATAGTCTCCTAGCTAGCTAGGCATAACTAGAATCCTAGCCCTAAGCACTAAGAAGTAGTAAACCGAGCTATCCTTTATCTCTATTTAACGAGATTATATAGTCTATGCCTAGGAGGGTAGGGAAGGAAACTAGCTACCGAAATCTTCTTTTATTTAAGCGATTTATCCTTTATAGATAATTTATTAGATAGAAAGAGCTTATAAGGGTATATTATATCCTTTTTTTAAGGAACTATTACTTATAGAGCTTTAAAGTAAGCTAATATTATAACTTTAAGTATAGAAGTAAAGCTACTAGCTCTTTTAAAAGCTTTAAAAGCAGCTATTTTCCTTAGCTAGCTACTAATATCTCTATAACTATAAATTCTAACCCCGTTAGCTATAGAATGCAATAATATATAGACTATACGAATTCTTACGAAGGAAAATAATAAGCTATTAACCTAGCTATAGTATATTAATATCTATTAATATTAGTTTCGTTAAGAGGTCTAAAGGGGACTTATTTCCGTTTATTAGGTTCTAATAGTATTAATAAAAGTAGACGGTCTTATAAAGCCCTTACTAAAGTAAAAGCTAGCTATCTTTTTATAGTAAATTAGGCTAGAAGACGTTTATAAGAAGCTATCCTTAGAGGCCCGCCTTAAGAGTCTATAAGAGGAGCTAATAGCCCGTATATAAAGGTAACGTCTATAGCTAAAGAAGAAGGAAGAGGTTTTCCCTTTAAAGGGCCTACTATTTTAATTAGGTTTCTCCTTTTAAAGAAGGCCCCCTTTCTTATAGGACTTTCCCCTCTTTAGGCCCCTATTCCTTAAGTAGGTCTAAAAGAGCCTAGGGACCTAAAAGGGCCCTTGCTTTCCTTAAGTAAAGGGATAGGTATAGAGCTAAGAACCTCCTCTATATACTTATTAGCCTAAAGCCGTATTAGCTATGCCCTTACTATAAGGGCAGGCTATAGCTAAGGGGGTGTATCGCGAAGCGTGGCTTTATTTCGTAGTTCTTAGAGATATCCCGTAGTACGAGGGACCTAGGAAGCTAAAAAACAGGTTTTAAAGAAGGAGCTAAAAGAAGGTATAGAGAAGAGGGTAGGGCTAAGAGGGGAAGCAGAAGTAGCGATAGCTTCCTATAGAGGTAGCGAGAGATAAAACGGATATGCTAGTAATAGCTAGAAAGGAGGGGGAAAACCGGTAAAAAGCTCGGTAGTTAAAAGGATATTAGTAGCTTCTTTAAGTAAGATCTTCTTTATTAATTAAGATACTAAATAGGTATAAAGAGGGGCGTTAGATAGAGGAAAGAAGGATAATTAAGGCAATATAATAATTACTCCCCTACTATAATTACTGCCCCTATAAGAATTAAATATCTCTGCCCTACCTATCCGACCCCTTATTTCTAATTTTACCTTCGTGCATTTATATATACTTCTCGTATCTCTCTTTGTAAGTAAAGGATCCTCCTTTTATCTTTTAAAATTCCTAGCTTTTAATCGCTATAATATAGCTAAAATTAAAGTTATTTAAAGCTAGACCTTATATTAAATTAAATCTCTTACCCTTAAAGCTATTTACCTTTAAGTTTATATATTTATTATATTTTATACCCTTAAGCTTATTACTAAGAAGTATTATATAATATAGATAAACCTATTTAAAAAAAAAGCTAGCTTAACCTACTAGCTGCTGCCTTTATAGCTTCCTTATAACTATATATATCCTATACTAGTATTATCTCTACTAGCGGCTTTAAGAGGGTATATCGGTTAAGCTTATAGACTTTAATATCTTTAAGTATAAGCGCGGTAATCTAGGCGCCGGTAAGGCTCCTTATTAGCCTCGTATAATTCGTAGTAAAAGCAGGCCTAAGGGCGCCCTAAACCTCTAGAAAATACG